GCCACCAGGGAGGGCCGATTTCTGTTTTTTTTAATGAGGCTAAGATGATAATTTTTATGTCTAGGGAAACATTGAGAAAATAATTCAAGGGGCCTCTTCTATCTCACCCACTGTTGTTCTCAGCAGTTTATCTTAGTCAATCCACCTGTTCTACTCCCTGCTCTGTCTCTGGTGAAACCTCTCAAGTCCCTACACCTCTGGCCTGTAACCCAGTTCCTGTATGCATAAATAAATAAATATTTAAATATATCTATATCTATCTATCTATCCATCATCCATCTACCTATTCATCCATCCATCCATCCATCCATCCCTCTCTCTCTATCTATCTATAGAGAGAGTATATACTTATTGCTGGGGACTGGCCCAACTATTGTGGTGTCAGGAGGCGAAACAGGCAGGGCCCTAAGGTGGAAAGGCATCTGTCTGGGCATCTGTCTGTCAGTGAGCCTTCGAGCAGAGATTCCAAAGGGGGAGAGGGGAGCAGGTGCGTGGAAGACATGGGAGTCAGAGTTGGTTGCAAGTCTTCCTGCTCATTCCCTCAGCAGGGGAGATGAGGCTATATGACTCCCACCGTTGGTCTAGCAATATGCCCATGTGGAGACTCTTGAGATATGTGCTAGATCCTTTGCCAGAGCCACAAGTTATTAATAAAAGACTAAAAGAGATTCATAATGCTGCCTCAGATAAAGCTACGCTTTTTTCACACAAACCTAGTTCTGAGGCTTTTGTGGCAAATCAAAATGGACATAGCTCAGGCTGATGAGACATAAAAGAAAAAATGGCAGACTTGCACCCAACTCCGATTTCCGTGTCTTTCTCATGCTCGCGCAACTTTCCCCCCTCCTTTAGGAAACTCTGCTTGGCTCGCGAATGCCCCTCCCACCTTGAGACCCTGCCTTTTCTGCCCCCCAACAATCTGTGATTGGAATGGTCCCCGACAGCAGGTCTTTATTTATACTGTGTAACAAGTAGTTAATTGTAATAATGCATAGTGTAAGTTAATGATTGATAGCCATAAATTGTCATAAATGTTTTCAAAGACAAGAGGAACAGAGTACTTTTTCTTAACATTTTATGGTATACTAAGTTATACATTTTTGTGATAATTGTCATGTATACAGGTGTTTAGCTATAACTCAAGGGAAGAGGGGTCAGGGAAAGGATGAGCTTATTAGCAAAAGGTTATTAGGGGCCTCAGGGAAGTAATAAATTGTGTTAGCAGTGTTACCAGTGATTGTCTAAAGAAAAGCTAATGGCTAATTTAAGGCTAGCAGAGAGTAGTTAGTGCTTGTTTTAAAAAGGAGTAAATTAAGAGAAAGTTGTACAGTTGTGTATTAAGCAACACCTGTGTAAACAAAGTTAAAAATTGTCCATGAGTGCGTATGCCCTAGAAGTCTTATCTGAGATTTGCTTTTTATTTTAAGGAAACCAAGGAAGCTTCCCAAGAGTTTTTATGCCCTGGGGTCTTATTTCTCCTGGGGCTTGCCTTTTGTCTCAGGAAACAGAGGAATTTCCCACCCTGGGGCAGCCACCTTATGAGGCTAGACAATCCAGTTGTAAACTGATGGTTGCTCAGAATATTTTGATATTATGATTATAAAAAAAAGGGAGGTCATAACATAAGTTAGCAGTGGAAATTCTGATTTTTCAGAGCTTTTCCTATTCTATCTGGAATTTGTCAGTCGATCGAAGTTGCATAGCTTGTGTCATCTCCCCCTTTTTTGTTTTCTAATCGAAGCTGAAACGCCTTTAATTTGATGTGGGTATTTTTGAGGGCTGTGAAGAGGGCACAGACGAGGACTGGAAATATAAACAGGAGAGAGAGAATGATTAGGAGGGAAATGTCAAAATTAATCAAGGAACGGAGGGGGAGCCAAGCAGCTGTAGATGTATAATGTTGGAGAGCAGAGAGAAAAGAGTCAGCCACTTCGGCAGGAGAGGCAGCAAGAGTGAAAGAAAGGCTGATAACCTTAATTTCATCCTGTAAGGAAAACATATCAAGGGAGACATCAGTATTGATGTCGTCTTTTGAGTTCGGGGTTCTTGGGTTCAGTCTGGGAAAGGTTTCACCAGAGCTCCCCTTTCAGGGCACACGGTGAGATTCTTCATGAGACAGAGACTCAGTTATTTTTAAGAGGAAGTTTATTAGAAAGAGGCAGGAGAGGTTAGGTGCAAGTGGGCAGGAAGAGCTGCCCCGAAAGGGACAGGTTTGCGGGGAAAGAGGCCTGCAAGGTTGTAGGCAGGCAGTCTTAGGAAGAGGCCTCCCCTGAGGGAGGTCAGTGTAGAGGAGTCCTGGCATGGTACAGGTTGCGGGCAGGCAGGAGGCTGCTGCCTGGCAGAGGGAGAGAGTGTCTGGGAAGAGGCACCTGCATAGGCACAGGTGGGCAGAGGGCTGCCCCCTGCTGGTGGAGAGGCTGTCCAGACATAGGCAGCCTCTCTTTGGGAGGGGCTCTCTCCTTGTGATCCAGGGTTTGTTGAGTTTTGAGCAGAGTCTGAGAGGACTGAGATTCCCTAGTGAGCTTCATCTCCATCTCCATGTCCTTGTCTTCACCTGGGCACCAGGCATCCTGGCTTTGGTGCCCTGATGTTATGGCTGTGCCATCTGCTGCATTTGCTTTTACCCATCGCTGTGACTCAGGGACTGTGACTCAGTCTTGTGATGCCTCTCCTGCATTCTTTCCTCCATCATTCTTATTCCATACACCAAGCAAATGATTTTTAACATTTTTCCATGGAACAGAAGAGGAGTTATACTGATGGGGAGTGACACAAATCCACTTAAAATCATCATGACAGCAAGTAGTGAGTTTTAATGTGTTGGATCTGGTTACCAATATAAACAACCATCTCCTCTAGAACATTAATTCGAGCCTGAAAGTTTTCATCAATGCGCTCTTGAAAAGCGAGAGCCTGGGTAACATTAGGAGAAAGGTCACTAACATGATGGGCTGTATGGACTTGTTGAACAAGGGCAGTGGTGGAAACTGCTAAAGAGGCAATTATGGAAATCAAGGCAGTGGTGCCCAGAATGAGCACAGCTACAAAACAAAACATTTTGGACGTCGCAGGCCGTCGTCGATGAGCTGGAGAGCGTAGATGCCTGAGTCATCGTACCACTGGCCTTTGAGATCAACAGGCAGGACTACATAGGGCGTTGATGGACGATCATAAAACTAGTCGTGCCCACAGAAGGGTCCAGGCAGTTGGTAAGGCGGCAGCCGAGGCAGGTGATGCTGTAGGTCTTATGGACGTGGAGAATTTGGAGACTGATGGTTCCCTGAATCAGCAGAGCTCAGGGAGGTCCGACAAAGGCCCTGACAGAGGAAATGTTTTGGGGGGCATGGGGACGAATAGGTGCTGCTGCTGCAAATAAAAGATAAAGTTTGGGCCCTCCCTGGTGGCTCAGCAGGTTAAAGCACAGCACTAAGAAGCTTAAGCCACTTCCGCATGAGTTCCATCCCCACCTACCCCAGAGGTGACCACATGGCACCCCAGACCTCTCCTGACCCACTCCCTGCTCCCCTCAGCAGTGCACTTCATCTATCTGCCTGTTCTGCTCCCCACTCTGTCTCTGGTGGGTTCTCTCACCCTCCCCATCTCTGGCCTGTACCCCAGTTCTGTATGAGTAAATAAATAAATTTTTTTAGTAGAAATATTTGGTTCTGTTTAATCAGCTATTGATGGTGTCATAAATTTAAGTGGCATCTAATTTAAACATTTAAAATAGTTCACTGAAGGGTAATCTACAACACAGTGTGTTAAGCCTAACCGTCAAA